AGCTTCTGCAAACAGAATATTCAGAAACAAAATACATTTTAGGGGGCTCAGTGGCATGTACTTAGATGCAGGAGGCCCTGGGTTCAATCCCCAACACCAAAAAAAAGGTACATTTGAGATTTGCATTTGGTTTTCAAGTTTTACTATGAGCCCAAACTTGGTTTTACTTATCCTAAGGGCTTATTGTGTTTCTTCAGTTGTAGAAAAATCCTCAGCCATTTTTCATTGACTATTACCTCTCTGAATTGCTGTGTCACTTTTCTCCCTAGCTTGTACTGTGCCAGGGCTCTTTATTAGTTCTTAAATTAAGGGTCAGTCCTGCCTCAGGGCCCGTGTCCTTTTCCTTGGCTTGAAGTCTTGCTGCTCCCTTACCCACCTCAAATTGTCAGTGCTGTGTGGCTTTTTCTGACCATCCTTTTTTTTTTTTTGGTACTGAGGTTTGTACTCAGGCTCTTATGCTTGCTAGAGAGGCACTCTATCACTTGAACCATTCCGCCAACCTGACCATCCCATTTTAAGACTGCAAACCCTTCCCACCCATGTTCCCAAACATCTGACTTTCGCTATAGCATTTACCACTCATTCATCTTCCAACCCCAGAATTTAAGCCCTTCATAAGCAGAACTTTTTGCTCATTGTTGTAATTCTGTGGCTATAACAGTGCCTGGCATACAGCACACGCTCAAAAAATACTGAATAGCTTTCCCCCTCCTTTTCTAGGTCACTTCATCCACAAAGCTTTCACTGGTGACCCAAGTATCACAATTTGCATGAGAACAGCATTTTTTTTTTTTTTTTGTGGTACTGAGGTTTGAACTAAAGGCACTCTTACTGTATGACCCACTCTGCCAGCCCTTTTTTGTGATGAGTTTTTTCGAGATACATTCTCAACTATTTGCTTGGGGCTGGTTTTTAACCACGATCCTCCAGATCTCTGCCTCCTGACAGAAGTGAGCCACCAGCTAGGAGAACACGTATTCTAACACAAAGGTAGGCAACCTTGAACATACTGTTCTGTGACATAACAGCACATACACAGGACTGAGAACAGAGGCCCAACACTCAGGGATCTCAGACAAACTTTAACTTGAAGGGTACTTGCATGTTGTGGCCCACCCCCTACTTGACTCTGCAGGCCAACATGATACTGAATTTCCTGAAAGGCCATTCCTGTTAGTCAAGTTATGGGCTGCAGTCAAAATGCAAACTTTTGGTCCAGGCACTGATGCCTCCTGCCTGAAATCCTAGCTACTCCGGAGGCAGAGATCAGGAGGCTCTCCATTCAAAGCCAGCCTGGGCAATAGTTAATGAGACCCTGTCTCGAAAAAACACTTCACAGGAAAGGGCTGGAGTAGCTCAAGATGTAGGTCCTGCGTTCAAGCCCCAGTACCGCCAAAAAAAAAAAAACAAAACGGCAAACTTTTGGCAAGTTGTTGTTCGATGTAGAATTCAGATTTTCACAAATTGCAGGTCTTAAAAAATAAAGGAGAGCGTTGTGGCCTGAGGGTCTGATGTTTATCACAGGCAATGAAGTTCACATACTTCAATTAGTAGAGAAACAAAAGCCATTTTTATCTTCATTTTATATGATCATGGCTAATACACAACTTTTATTCCCATCCATCACAGCAGAGGTGTACACACTTTTAAAGAAGGTAACACTGGTGCCCTAAAATAAGGTGGGTTCTATGTAAATCCCCTAAAAGGCCTACTAATTCGACAGAGCCCCTGATGATTGCTTCCTCTACTGTCAGGTCTACTTCTCTATGCTTGTTTAACACAGTACTCTAGTCATGAGACATTTACAAAAATGTCATGACTTCTGTCCCCATAATTTAGAATAAAATGAAGACACAAGAGGTAACTAATTGTTTTAAAAACATTTGGATGTGCTGGCAGAGAAACAAGGGCTAAAGTTAGGAAGACAAATTAAGGACATATAACTCATAGTGATACTGAATGCCTATTACACACAAAGTCCTACTCCAGGTATTTCAAAGAGAGTAACTGGTGGTGACTGGGGGAGAAAAATTCCTACTGTATGGGGCTTACGTTCTACTTGGAAGCAAGACAATCAGCAGAACTATGACTACATAACATAGTGCTAAACATTAAGAAAATAAAACAGGCCAGGCATAATGGCACACAGGACTAGCACTTGGGACACTGAGGACTTGAGGTCAGCCTGAGCTATAAGACCTTTTCTCAAAATACAAAAAAAGCGGCTGGGCACCAATGGCTCACTCCTGTAATCCTAGCTACTCAAGAGAGACAGAGATTAGGAGGATCATGGTTCAAAGCCAGCCTGGGTAAATAGTTTGAAAATACCCAACACACACACAAAAAAAGGGCTAGAAGAGTGGTTCAAATGGTAGAATACCTGCTTTAGCAAGTGTGAGGCCCTGAGTTATTAAGGAAAGAAGAAGAAAAAAAAAAAAACAGGAAGAAGTGAGGGCAAGTTGACAGCTGCTGCAAATTTAAGTAGGGTAGTCAAATAGCAATGGGAAGCAGTTGTAGCCACCTTTAGGTAAGATTGTTAGGTGAGGTAAAAAAAACATTCTTAGATACTTCAGGTTAATCTTTACAAAATTGTAGTCTCCCTCACTTTTGTTTGTGGAGAGAAATGCCAACTATGTAGATAACTAATGTTCTCTGGACCGAGTGCTTTAATGACATTCTCAAAAAGGGAAAAACAGAAAATTTATTGAGTTCATTAAAAAAAAAAAAATCAGAACCCTTAAAAAAATCTCACGATTAAGTACTCTAGCTTCAAAACATCTCACTGATGTACCCTAATAGCACTGGCCCATGTCACCAGTGGGCCTTTCCTTTTAATTTTGTCAGGGCATTGCTTCAGTAGGTTTTATTTAGCCCAATTACCCAAACAATCATATGAATAGTTAACCAAGAGTTTTTTTTACAATGTAGGACCTTAGATTAGAAACACAGCTTTTTGAAAATTTGTGTCACCCAAACCTTGGAATCTTAGCAAATAATATCTTTGCTAATTATTAAGAGCTCAAAACTCTTTTCAGTCCTTAATAAATATCCCTATCCTGCTCTGGCTCCTAGATTTTCTATAAACACTAACTTCTAATATCTAACAAGCCTCTTGCTTGCCTTTTTCCCCTGGAAAACTACCATTTTTGTATTTTAACTAATTTGTCTTTGAAAGTAAACAATGTCATGGTTCTTTGAATAAGTTCCACAAAGTTTCATTTCTAAGGATAAAGCATTAATTGGAAGCATCGAAACATAAAAATTAAACCTTCCAATTAAAAAATGAGTAACATTTGAGTCTTTTCTCCCATTTCCTGCATAGAGCAGGAAATATTCTTCCTCCCCTACTTTATCCTGCCATACTAAAATAAGCCCTTTTTTAAAAACAAGTAACATTTAAACGTTAGTAAAAATTAAACTTAAAATTCTATGTAGTTAGAACTTGATTAAACTACTCCTTTCCCCCATGCATTATATCCCCATTACCAACTGCAACAACTGAGCTCAAAGCCAAAATGATTACTTTTCCAACAAGCAATACTAAAATTGTCCAAGTTTCCCAGGTAAAAGATGGTTGGGGGCCGGGAGATATAGCTCAGTGGTAGAGTTTGTGCTAAGCATGTGTAAGGCTCTAGATTTAATCCCCAGTATCAAAAAGGAAAAAGATGAACAAAACTTCATTTGTACAAAGTTTTGTGTGTATAATGCTAGGGATTGAACCCAGGGCCTTCCACTCCTATATAAAGGATCTTTCTTATGCATACAAAAGTCATCAACTTGGTTTTTCCTTCAACCAGGTTAAATTTATGGCCGCCTCTTAAAATCATTGTTTACCAACCTGTTCTATCAAGGCACAAGTTCTAAGAGAACTACAAGTTGTAGTTGAAGCTACTCTTGGTGGAAACAACTGGCTCAGGCATGTAGGTGGCTCTGCAGTTTGCACTTGTTCATTTACTGTTTTATTATGCCAAAAAAAGATTAATCTTTAAAGAGTTCTTATAACATTTGCTCACACATATACGAGTTGTACAGACACAAAAACTAACTGGAAATGCTTGTTCACATTTTCAACAAAACCATTTACTTGTCAAAAGGCATACTGAAAGTCAAGCCTACAACTACAATGTTAAAAAAATTGCGAACAAAAGGCCATTTGCAATTTAAGTGCTCTCTCATATAATGCAAATAAAGTTAATACAAGTACTAATCTTGAGCAGTCACACAAGTCTAAGCCACATTTATTTGTACATGTATAATGGGCAACAGATACTCCGAGTTCATACAAATTTATAAAACAACAAAGTTAATAATCACTTGGTACACTTGTGTGTTATCTTGCTTACATATTCAAGTCTAGACGAACTTCCTTCATTTTGTAAACTTTCATACAATACTTCCTTAAACAAAACTTCTTGAAAACACATATTGGCATGTTTCAGTTAGAGCCAACACAAAAGTTAAGACAAGACCACAAATTCAAAAACCAAATGTAGAGGACACTTCTACCTCCCTCCCCTAGAAAGCAGTTATTTTAACAGATCATATATGCTGTCATCACACAGGTAACCATGAAGACAAAAGAATGACAACCAAATCATACTGCTTTAAGTTATCTACCAACTACATGGTTTAAGAGAGAAACAGGAAAATGCTTAAACAAGAGAAATTTGAAAATAGTAAATGGTTTTAAAGAGAACTATTCCCCCTCAAAGCTGCTAAGACCTGACAACTCAATTGTCTAAGGTAAATAAAAGTGAGGAAGCCTTCAAAAACATTCTAATCATGTTCAGTATCTAGTGATAAAAACTGAAAATGGTATCAAGATATTTATTATACAAGTGTCAACAAGGACATCTCAAAAATAATGAAAGAAATGCACATTTATTTCTACAAAAGCAACGTATGACACAGAATTAGTAGGGAACAGATTTAAAGATTTACCTATTAAAATATACAGATTCTTACTGAAGCGTATAGGATATTTAAAAAAGATGACAAGGGATGTTAATCTTTTTTTATTATTATTGTTTTTACATATTTTATGGAACCTCACATAATTTTGATAAATAACTCTTACAAAATTATGCAAAAAGTACAAGAATGTCTGGTAAACAAACAGTCTGTATTTTCCAAAAAGATTTTTACAACATGCAATTCTTAAGGCAGCATCCTCCTTACAAGGAAAGGTAATCCTTTTACTCATCAAGAAATCTTCTGCTGCAAAGAATAGGCTAAGAAAGCCTGGCTTCTTCCATTAACGCCTTTTGTCTTTCCTGTCTGATTTTCGGTCTCTTTCACTTCTTGAAGATCTTTTGCCTGATCGACTACTCTCTGATATAGACCTCTTTCTGTCAGACCGGGAGTTCTTATCCTTTGATCCTTTTGTATCTCTACTACTACCACCTTTCGAAGATTTGTGACTTCTTTCTAGTCCTGAAGTATCCCTTCGCTTCCGATCCATGCTCCTTCTGTGCTTTCTATCTCTATTATGTCCCCGGCCCCTACTCCGACTTCTGCTCTCACTACTACTACTAGTGCTGCTACTACTGTCTCTGCTGCTGCTACCACTTGTACTGGAGCTACTACTGGAACTGCTTCGACTACTGCTGCTGCCACTGCTGGAACTGCTTCCACTGCTGCTACTGGTTGAACTGCTACTAGAACTACTACTGCTACTGCTTCGACTTCTACTCTTGCTTGTTTTATTTCTAGCTCGACCTCTACTTCTGCTCCTAGTTTTGGTTTTGCTTTTGCTTTCTGAATGTACTGCCAAAACTGGCTCTACTACTGACACCTCAGTGAGTTTTACAGACTCTATAGGAAACTCCTTCCGCTCAGGTATTACATTTCCTTGCTCCTGAATAACCTGAAGTGGTGGCTGTAAAACAGCTAATGGCAAAGTCTCAGGCTGAGAGAAAGGCTGGGGCTGGACTACTGGTTGGGGCTGAGACAGGGGCTGAGATAGGGGCTGGGACTGAGACTGGGGTGGAGGCAGGGGCTGAGGCTGAGCCACAGGCTCAGGCTGGGGCTCAGATTCTTTTTCTTCAGATTCCTTTTCCACTTCTATAGTACTAACATTCTCTTTTCCAGGAGAAAGGGATTTACATTCTTTATCTGGCTCAACCTCAAATTCCATCTCTGGCTCCAATTCTTTGCTAGTTTCATTTTCTGAAGGCTCTATACTCTCAACCTGATTAGTTTCCATTACTTCCTGCTCAGCAATTACATTTTTGACATTCTCAACCATCTCTAGCACATCCATAACTTCTTCAGGCTGACTATCCTGTTGCTTCTCACTTTCCCTTGCCTCAGCTTCCTCTTCCATCTTAACCTCCATTTCCTGTTTTTGTTCTTCCTCTTCCTGTTCTTTCTCTGCATCACTATGAACTGTACCTACTTCCTTTTCCTCTTCCTCTCCTGCTTCCTCTATTTCTACATCATTGTGCTGATTACCTGTCTCCTCCAACTCTTCCTCTCGCTGAGCCACCTTACCCTCTTCTTGTTCCGCCTTCTGTTCTTCATTACGCACCACCTGATGCTCTTTTTCCTTCATTGATTGTCTTCTAGGCCTAGCCTCCATTTTATTTATTTGTTCTGCAAATTCGATGCGTCTGCCTTCAAATAAAGCTGAACAAAAATTTAAATTTTAGAACTTATAATTCAGAAAATTCAAAGTCACAATTTTATGTCAGTTCACAAATTGTCATTAAGCAAAAACCCACAGAAAACATACTAAAAAAATGAGTACCAAGCAAAACCGGACCACATCTGATGAAAAAGAAGCCTAACTTTTGCTACTGAACTTTATGCTAGATGAGAATTAAAACTGTTTAACAGTGTGCATCCCTCCCTATATGTACCCTCTATGAACTATCAAGATTCATTCTTGTCTCGCTTAGTATATTGTGGCTAAGGTTATCCAGCAAAAATAACCTTACAAATACTTCAACACATATGCATAATGTGCATGAATTTCAGTTAAACTCCATCATGAAACAAATACTCCTGCACTCAGCAGCATCTCAGAATGTCTTTAAAAAAAAAAACAAAAACAAAAAACCCCACAAAAATTAAAAACCACAATTATTTTAGGAAACAAAACAGTATGTGTCGATGTATTATTATCTTACCCATTAAGAAAATTTCTTTAAGGGCCGGGGATGTAGCTCAGTGGTTAAGTGTTTGCCTACCATGCACAAGGTCCTGGGTTCCATCCCCAGTACCGAGAAAGGAAAAAAAAAAAAAAAAAAAGAAAAAAGAAAAAGCGAATGTCATTGTACCTCTTCTTTTACTTACCATTCATTTTTCTCTGTGACTCTTCTATTAGTTTTTGAGTAGCAGGACACATTCTTCCAGGAATGTAGAACAAATGGGGCTTTGTCTTAGTTCTTATATATTTAATTATTTTGGCATTGTGTTCATTCCATTCTTCTTGCTAAAGAAAAGGCAAAAGGTCAGTGAATCTATAAATATACCAGATGTCTAATCTTACAATTCCAAAACTGGCTCAAGCGGTAAGAGCACCTGCCTAGCATTGGTGAGACTGAGTTCAAACCCCAGTGCCGCCAAGAAAAAAAAAAAAAGTCAGAATTCCAAAACACTACTCACCAGCTGTGCAAGCTCAACCTTTTGTTCCAAAAGCCGCAATTCTGTCTGTTTAGCACGTCTCTCTTCAAAGAGTTCTCTCCTCTCATTTTCAACCTGCTTTCTCTCTTCTTCTGCCTGAACTTCAAGTTTTTGTTCAATTTCCTGGCGCCTCTTTTGCTAAAAATAAGTAATCCACTTTTATATTTACGTATTATAATAGGTAAAAATAATCAAGAAATATTTGGCTTCAATTACAACAAAAAACAACCCCCTCACGTATCTTGATTATGTGAAACATTACAATTTTACTACGTAAAGTTATCTGTATGCTTCACACTTTCAATTCAGTATGCCTATAAATATGAATTTGGCATTTAGCACCTGAGACTGCAAATTTTTAAGAAATACGGACCAAGGCTTTTCCACACAAATTATCTAAATTTCAAGATTAGAAAGAAAGTTAAAATAACTGTCCTATTCCATTGTAAAGTTTTGAGTAACATTACTTCATAAAAGCTAACCTTAAAAAAAAAAAAAAGTTGTTTTTAATTAGAGGTGACAGAAGAATGTGATGTGACAAAAGTGCTAATTAACTAGTTGTACTTTCCGTTCTGCTTACTTCAATAAAATATCAACTTGTTCTTCAAACATTATGATGCTTTTAAGCTTTCTTCTTTTTTTGAGACATGATCTCTGTATGAAGACCAGGCAGGCTTCGACCTCTCAATTCTCTTGCCTCAGCTTCCTAATGCTAGGATTATAGGTGTGCACCACCAAGCTTGACAACTTTTAGGCTTTTTTAAAAATATGGAACGCTTCACAAATTTGCGTGTCATCCTTGCTCAGGGGCCACGGTAATCTTCTCTGTATCGTTCCAATTTTAGTATATGTGCTGCTGAAGCGAGCACAACTTTTAGGCTTTTTATATTCAAAGGTAACATGTAAAAGCTAAAGTACCCTACTAATCTTCTGTAACTGAACTAATGTTTCCCTTTCTACTAACTATTCTTCTACTATTCTCCTCCAGAACCGATAAGGTGGAGTTCAACTCCACAGATACAATTTTGAGCTACAACCAGAGAGAAGATTTATAGAAAGATGACACTTAAATAAACTATGGAGAGCAGGGAACATTTGTGCTTTTGTTTCTATAGTGGCATTTCCTTTGAATGCGTAAATTAAGTCTTAATTAAAATTGAGTTAGCTGGAAAGCCAAATTCCCTTGTTCGAAAGAAATCAATCTGAGGCCTAAATAAATTAACTTGCAAACAATAACACTGTTAAAGAGCTTACACCAGAACCTAGGTTCTCAAGATTTTACAGACCAGGGCTCTCTGTAACATAAAGGGAAGCTCCCACAATATACAAAACCTGAAGTTGAAAGTACAATGGTTTCTGGAGGTTTTTGCTTGGTTTTAATTTAGGTTTACAATTAAGTCTTTAAAGAGCTGTTAAGCTTCATGTGCTACTGCCCACCTATTATCCTCGTTAGGCAGAAAGATGATCAGAGTTTGAGGCCAGCCTTGGCTATACAGTTGCATTCCTGTCTCAAAAGTTTTTGAGCTCTTTATTAAAAAAAAAAAATTAGTACCCTACTCTGATAACCTAAAGCAAAACAGAAACAAAACAAAAAGAGGTACCCTTTCAGTAGCAACAGTGGATTCTTGTTTAAATTTTTGAAGAGTGCCCATCAACAAGCCAAATATTCGTCGGTTCCTAAAAAAACAGCAAAAAAGAAAAATCAATTTCAATAGGGTCCACTTCACTAAATCTGCCACTTCCTAAGAGACTCTTAGGACAACTCTAATTTTTCTTAAAATTGCACTATTTGACAGATTTTTCCCACTGGAAAGGTCCTACAGATACCTTTGCTTTCCCTTTTCATCCATATTTTGATCCTGGATAAGGTCTCTACGTGTACGTTCTTTGGAGGTAGCTACAACTGAAGACTGCAGTGCTGGCTGCAAGAGAAAGAAAACCTCAGTAACTTAACTAGTGTGTGGATAACATGCTTTTAAAAGTAGTAAGTACTATATTCATCCTCTACTAAGTTCCTTTAATCTCAATACCTTTTTAACATCATCATCCTCTGGGTCACTTTCTTGGCGTGATTCTCTTCTTGTCCGACGCTCCCCGCCCAGCCTATTGGAGGAAAAACAACTTAAATGACCACTGTGAAATGTCAGTTAAGTGCTACCAAGGGCAAATGCCTACTTATTCTAGGACATCTGATTCTACCAATCTCCATCCCATTTTATCCTTTCCTCTGGCAGTGAAAAGGATAAAATACAGCACCAACCAACCAACTCAAATTGCTGTCCTGTAGTACCATAATACTTGTCAATTCTCCCAGGATTCTTTCCATGACCCTTACTTTCATAAATTTTAATGAGTAAAAAACTGAGTTTTGAGGGATACTTGGTTGTAGTTCAGTCAAATACCAATGGACCCCAGAGGGAAGCAGCATCCTGCTAAATTCTAATAGTTCAGTCCAACAATACTTATTAAATATTTGGATTTCTGTACCACCTCAGAAAATAAAGCAGGTAAAGACACTTTTAAGAATTTTTTTTGGCAGTACCGACGTTGGATCCTAGGGTCTCACACTTGTTAAGCAGATACTCTACCACTTGACTCTGTGCCAGCCCTTTTTCGTGCTGGCTATTTTTGAGTTACCATCTCATTTTTTCCCCTGGCTGGCTTTGAACCAAGTTCCTCCTGATCTGTGTCTCTCCAGTAGCTGGGATTACAGGTGAGTCAGTGGCACTGGATTTAAGAATCTTTAAAACATACCTATTGACTGCCCCTTCAAGGTCTCTCTGTTTGGCTGGGGGTCCTCCTCCACTATCTGAGAATCCACGCCTGCAATTAAAAATGTTCAACATATTACGAATTATAAGCTAAATTGGCAATTCCATTTAGAAGAGAATTTAGTTGAACTTTTGTTTTGGTGGTGCTGGGGATTGACCCAAGGCCTTGTGCATACTAGTCAAGCACTGTACCGCGGACATACATTCTCCCAGCCATCAAAAAGCTAAAATAGCATTTTTAAAACTACGATAAAGCTGACACAAAACTGGTACAATCAATATATTCCTCCACGTCTAGTTCTGCACTATATTTTTAGGAAAATTTTAAGAATGGCTTACAGAAGCAGTCCCATGAACCTGACCGTAATCAAAGACATTGGACTAAGTTTAAGTGCCAACAGTGTCACGGGATGAAACCCTCGGGACATCTTACCTCAGCAATAAACTACCACGTCCTCTACCTCCACCAGGACCAGAAAGGGCCAGCAGTCTGGCTTGGATGGGTCTGCAAAAGAGTCAGCAGTCATTACAAAACTCAGACACACCCTAAAGGTACGGATCCAAAACGACGGTTTCCAACCCACGTGTTTGAAACGGGCAGGAAACGACGTTTCACTGGACCCGTTTGTCTCAAGTTGCGCTTCCCTCCAAGGAAGCCCGGCTGAGGCCCGCCTCGCCGTACGGGCGGATGGCGGCGTCCTCGGAGGCCCCCGCGCCCCCAGCGCCGGGAACGGGCTTTGTGCTGCAGTTCCGGGCCTGCAGCGCCGAGGGCGGGAACGGGTGGCCCGGGCCTCTCACCGCCAAGCAGCCAGGTCTCGTTGCCCGACCCTCGGCAGTCCTCCCTGCACCCTACGCCGCCCACCTCACCGAGGACCGGGTTCTCCCGCTGCCGGGGAACAGGCCTCGATGTTCCAGTCTCGTCAGCGCCGGCCGCCCTCCCCGTCCCCAACCACCCTGCCACCTCTGCAAGCTTGCAGTTCCCGTTCACCCTCACCTCACGTCATTCGGGTCTCGTCCGGTGAGCTTGCGAATATTCTCATCTACGTTTTTTAGGCTCTCTTTGGCTTTTTCTAGCTGTTCCTGCAAAGTTCTTACGGCGACCGCCATCTTCTCCCTGCAAGCAGGCTTCGAGACTGCTCTACAGGCCGCGCCGTCCTGTACCGCGCCGCGAGACGCGAAAGACTGACGGCAGGGCTCAGCCAATGGTGATAGGTGATGCTTTTCGGTCTCAACCACTCAGCGACCGGAAGGGGTATGAAGCTTCCAGCCTTTGTGCCTCTTGGCAATGAAAATTTGGGCAGGTGGTCAGATTCCTCCCCAAGCTAGATGCGAGTGGTTGGCTCCACTTCTAGCGCAGAGCCAGGGCGGGATTGAGAGTCCTTGCTCTTCCCAGACGTGAGCTCTCTCGCTGAGGATGTGCCTGGGGGAGTACGGAGCTTTGCGGCGCTTTTAACCTGTGTTGTGACGCACCTTATATTGTTTTAACTTAACATAATCACGCACGATGGAAGCGAATTTATTTTCTCTGTCCACCTAACTCAAGTGCTTTAATTAGGAAAGGGCGCGGCCATTATGGTGTTGCGCATGCCCTGAGAGGGGGCGCGCACGCCCCTTTGATTAAAGTGAGCCGAGCAGGCAAAGGACGGAACCGACTTTGGCCTAACAGCAAGCAATTGTGGACGCGGTGTGAAACGCTTTACTTGCTCTAGCTATTACTAATAAGATAGTAAAGCTGCCTCGAGGTCCCAGCTGCAAGTCAGACCCCGAGGAAGGCTGTAGTCAAAGGAAAAAACCAATGGTGAGGCGGGCGGGTTGACGGCCTCTCCCCGGGGCCTGGATGGAGCTGGTTGGTTTAGTGCTGTGTGAGTCTCCCAGCTTCTGGCTCTGCTTCCCCTGCACTGCCAACGTGGGAACTGGTTTTCTGCCAGAGAAACATGGACAAGTTGCAGCGCAAAAAACACTCCCTGAGATAGAGCATAGCATGCCCGAGGCCCAGCATAACATCCCCAGCACCTCTCGAAATGGAAAAAAAAAACAAAAGGAAAGAGGGAGGAGTGGGAGGGAAGGAAGGGAATGAGGGAGCGGAGGGAATAAGGAAAGGGAAAGAAGGAAGGAAGGGAAGAAAAGAGGGGAATGAGGAGAGGGAGCTGGGATGTAGCTCAGTGGTAGAGCCCTTGCCTAGCATGCACAAGGATCTGGGTTCTATCTCCAGCACCACAAAACACATACAAACTTAATGAATAATCTCAGCCACGCATCCTCCTTGCACTAAACATTAGCAGAACAACTGTATTCAATTCAAGACCATCTTTAATTCAAACCACGTGTTAAAGTTTTGACTCTCAGTAGTAAGTTAGGCCCTGAAGGTAAAGCCTAGAACAAAATAGCTGTGGTTTTTGCTTCCATAGGAGTAAAGAGCATTCATTCAAAAAATATTGAGCCTAAATATGTTCCAGGTGTTTGGATACATTTACAATAAAGATCTCTGAAAGAAGTATGCAAAGAAAAGATTTTTTTTTTGGCAGCAGTGGAGTTTGAACTCAGGCCTCACTCTTGCTAGGCAGGCAGTCTTACTGCTCACTATAGTGAGCATAGTTGATCTTTCCTCCTTTCTCTGCCCCTTCCTTTTTTTCTTTGAGATGGGTCTCACTGTGTAGCTCAGGCTGGCCTCCAATTTGGTATCCTGTCTTCTCGTGTCCAGCAGGAGCTTGTCCTAGAAAGTAACGGGGGGGGGTGACGGGAGATGCCAGAAAAGACAGACAGACAGAAGATCTAACATGCACAAAAAGCTGGGGCTAGGTAGTCTTGTGTGCTCTGATGGAGACACACCAGCCCTCCACCTCCAGTGAGTTTGTTATGTACCATAGCAACTGGAGGCAGAGAGGCATTTCTTGGGGAAGGGCATGTGACATTGTAATCCTCGGGAACAGGAGAAACCTGTGACAGCTTCTCTGAACATAAACATCTTAGGAAAAACAGCTGTACTGCATCTTGCCCACTTCTGCAGCTGAGGCTGTGCCAATCCAAGCGTGCAATTTTACGGGGCATGAACTATACTTGCTCCCTTCTGCGGTTTGGGAGTGTGCCAAACTCAGATACCTAGCTTATTCTATACACCCGTCAGCTCCAACACCACATTGGCTAAACTGATTGGATTACAAACCTGTTTATAACCTAGATGGAACCTGAGGCTTGAGAGTATGGTAATAGATCTGAACAACTTTTTTCCATGAGAAAATGCTTTTAGAACCCAGCATTGGTGGCTCACGCCTGTAATCCTAGTTACTCAGGAGGCAAAGATCAGGAGGATTGTGGTTGGAAGCCAGCCTGGGGAAATAGTTCTTCAAGACCCTATCTTGAAAAACCCTTAACAAAAATAGGGCTAGTGAAGTGGCTCAAGATGCAGACCCGGAGTTCAAGTCCCAGTACTGCAAACAAAACAAAACAAAAAAGCTTTTAGATTTAACCAAAACTAAGATCTAGTCCTGCTTTCATAGGATCTATTCCTAGGATTGTGGGCAATTTAGCACTCTTTCATGGAAGAGGATCAGTGAGATGCTGTGGTTCAGTGTTTAGTAGATCCTTAGCAAATGTTAATTTCCTTTATGATCTCCAAGACAAAAAATTTTTTTTTCAGTACTGGGGTTGAACTCAGGACCTTGAGGTTGCTAAGCAAGCATTCTTACGATTGAACCACATCCTAGCCTTCCAAAAGATTCTAGAAACTATGTTTGATTTGGGAAATCAACCTTAGTAAATTGGTCAATTGCTTACTTTTTAGCTCTGTGGTGGGCTTGGATCCCTTGGTGGTAGTGAGAGGGGAATGCAATCTGGTCATAAAGACACGATTTTATATGGGAAATTGGAGGGCTGAAACATTTGGAATAATGGTGGCAAAATACTCTTTAAATTTCATATTAGGTGGGAGCTGGCTGAATCCTGTTTGGGAGGCTGAAATTGGGAAGATCTTGATTTGAGGCCAACCCTGGCAGATTGTTCTCAAGACCCCCATCTCATAAAAAAAGTAAATAAAATTATACCATTTAGTGTTTTAAGAAGCATAGGTGGAACTTTTTTGCTTGATTTATATGATGAATGGCATAAACTGATCCAATCCTTAAGAGAAGCATATTGCTAGGTACTGGTGGCTCACATGTGTAACCCTAGCTACTCAGGAAGCAGAGATCAGACGGATTGCAGTTTGAAGACAGCCTGGCCAAACAGTTCACAAGACCTTATCTAGAAAAACCTGATCACAAAAAATTGGGCTTAAGGTGAAAGTCCTGAGTTCAAACCCCAGTACACACACACACACACACACACACACACAAACAGAGAAGCTTATTAAGAAAAACCTACCATGATTACAATTATCATCTTAAGTTCTTGTGAAAGAATATGAAGAGGTGGGAAGTTATTGACAATTTGAGAAAAACTAATATGTTAATTTGGAGGGAACAATGAATATAATTAGAAGAAAAACCTGCTTTATGAATTACCAAGAAAAGAACTAAATCACATAGGCTGGCCTGTAGTCCCAGCACAGGGAAGGTTGAGGTGGGAGGACCACTTGAAGGCAGGAGCTGGATATATCTCATAAGCTTTTTCTTGTTTGGGCTGGGGGGAGGGGAGCAGTACCAGGTGTGAACTGAGGAGTTCGTGCTTACTGGGCAGCTTGAGCCACTCTTCCAGTGAGGCTAGGAAGTTGAGACTAGCCTGGGCAACATAAGGGGACTCCATCTCAAAACAAACAAAGTAATTAAAGGCTAAGCAACATATATAAGCCAAAGTTCGACAAATTTAAAATGTAATATTGGGCTGGGGATGTAGTTCAGTGGTAAACTGTTTGCCTAACGTGCAGGAGACTCTAGGTTCCATCCTCAGCACTGCACAAAAATAGACAGTCTTAGAAAATGTGGTATGTAGTATGATATGACATGTATATTTGCCCCTTTGTAGAAGTTAAGTCACATCTGTCATAGATTCTTAGGAACTCCTTTTCACAGTGATAACTCTTTCTCAATTCTTTTCTATTTCCCTAATCCTCTAGTTTTTTTTTCCCCCTTCGGTACTGGGGCTTGAACTCAGAGCCTTCAGCTTAAACCACTCCACCAGCCCAATTTTTATGAAGGGTTTTTTGAGATAGGGTCTCAAGAAGTATTTGCCAGTGTTGTCTTTGAACATTGATCCTCCTCATCTCTGCCTCCTAAGCAGCTAGGATTATAGGCGTGAGGTTTTTTTTTTTTTTGGTGGTGGTACTGGAGTTTGAGCTCCAGGCCTCTTGAGCCACTTCACCAGCCTTTTTTTGTTTTTTGTTTTTTGTTTTTTTTTTTTGGTGTGATGGGTATTTTTGAGATAGGGTCTTACAGGCTGGTTTCGAACCGGATCATCCTGATCTCTGAGCACAGGCACCCGGCTACTTTCATGTTTTCTTGTTTTTTGCTTACACCATCCCCCTCCTTGTCCCTTTCACCCAACTCCCAGTAAATTTCCTGGTGACTGAAATGGCTGTCAATCTTTTCACATCCTGGGCTTAAATCCAATATGGTTTTGGCACAATGCTTCAATGTATCTGAAATATACAACCTGCAAATTAATGGTTTAGAGCCTAACCTGGTGGCACAAGCCTGCAATCCCAGCACTGAGGCAGAATGATTGAGAATTCGAGACCGGGAAGACCCTGTTTCCAAAAATATAATGAGTGATTTGTTCATTATTTTTCCAACTTTTCATATTGAAGAACATATGGCAGGCTACAAACTTGATGAAAGCAACAGAGATTCTTGTCAATTTTGCTAAGGTTGATACCTCATTGACACGGAGCTAGTAGAGGGAACGCTAAGCTTTACTTCACCCTTCACCCAGGTATTTAACTCCGCCCACCACCGGGTAGGAACCTTTCTCACCGCAGGGCGCGGGCGCTGGGTGCACCCGGGGCCTGGTAGAGGAACTCCGCTACCATAGAGCTGGCGGAGTGCCGGGTAGAGGGGACCGGAAGTTGTCTCCGCCATCCAGCTAGGGGCGGGCTAGGGTATCGGCGGCCTGGGCTCAGTTGTAGCGGCTGTCGGACGCTCTCGCTCGGCCCTAGGGCTCTATGGCCCTGGGGAAGGGCTCTCTCTTTGTCTAGTGCCGGGCTTACTCTAGTTCCGGCTTGAGGAAGCTCAGTCCTTCCTCGGTCTCCTAGCAACGAGGGATAGGGCTGGGCTAGACGGAGCGCGGCGCCGGCCCAGTAGTCCCGGTGTTAGCTGGAACCTCCCGGGCCAAACCGGGAGTCAAAACCCAGAGCTTGGAAGAATAAGGAGGAAATGGCGGACGAGGCGTTGTTTTTGCTTCTCCATAACGAGATGGTGTCAGGAGTGTACAAATCCGCGGAGCAAGGGGAGGTGGTGAGTGCGGCCACACGCCTTCGAGGTCTTTCGCCGTGACATGCCTTGATTGCCCACGGTGCTCTTCAACTCCTGTCCCGTCCCCACCCTGCGGCCCCGGAGTTGTGGGCAAAACGGGTCCACCTCCACGTATTCCAAGTCCTAGAACCCGTGTGTGGACTGTGTCCTTTGGTACTTATCTCCATCCTTTCCCTTTTGTGTCTTACATTGCTTTTTGTCCGTACCTATACCTTTATCGTGCAGGCCACAGACTTTCTTGTATTGTTGTCTCCGCCAGGATTGACAGCTAGGTTAACTGCACACCTGATTTTGGCACTAACTAATTTTGCTGCGCTGGAAGCATTTCCGAGAGCCTCCGCAGGACCGTCCTGTCCCTCCTGCCCATCTCTCAGTTCCTCCCCACACAACTCCAGACTAAAGCCTAATGAGGTTGGGAGTCTGCAAAGTTTACAGATGTTAACGATAACTAGGAAGCAGTCTAATTAACGTGGAGAATATTTATTTAGTGACCATTATGTCAGAGCTGGTTTTAGGAACTGGCGATGTAACAGCGAGTGAAACAATGGCCCACACAATGATTCTTACAGAAAACATCTTTTTTTCTTTTTCTTCTTTCTTAGTGATACTGGGGTTTGAACAGTATTTCCTACTTGCAAACCAAGCGTTCTGCTGCTTGAGCCACACTTCCATCTCCAGAAAACATTTATAAACGAGCTTTGTGGGCATAACGCTGCTAGTTAAATAAGATTAAAACGCTTGCCTCAGTCTTTGGGGAATAGGGATTTAACGAATAGTTAATTATTGAGTGATTTATTGAGTAATAATTAGGTGTAGAATCAGAGTTCTAACGGATTTTAGAATTTAGATATTTCAAAGTCATGTTCAGGTCAGGTGATTTTCTTTTATACTTATCGGAAGGGTGGGGATACGGTGGGAAAAAGCACCCTAGGCAAAGTTACAGGCATAGAGGTGTGCAAGACTGGAGGATTTAAATGTTCTCAAACATTTCACTGTGACTGGATTGAATATGTTGCAAGTGAGAAGAATTGAGAGCTGAAGTTATTGCCATATATGATTAAAGATTTTTTTTATCTCAGTGGAGGACTTTTAAGGAGGGAATGGTGTGGTCGATTTGCTGGTTAGGAAGACAACAGTATTAGGGCTAGAAAGGAAACTTCCTTGTAGTGGGAAGATGTATTACTGCAGGATCAGGACAGGAGATGATGAAGATCTGAATTAAGACAGGGAGAAGAGAGAACAGGTAGAATTTATGAGCCTTAGTTAAGTATAACAATGGGAGTTGCTAGCTTAGGTTGAGGGCTGGGGGTGGGTGGTACTGCTATTAATCAGGAAAGGAAATCAGAGATGAAGAGGTGAAGATAATGAATTACTTGGGATCAGATTTAATTTTGGAGGTATCTGTAGGACATCTAAGAAGAGGTGCTGTCAGTTTGAAAACTAGAAAGTTGGTGTGACAAGGAGAGTTGGAAATCAAACAAATTCTGTCCTTATTCTGACCCACTGATAACTTTTTTCCAAGTTACAACCTTTTGATTTTATTACTATCATCAGTCTTTGTACATAGCTGGTGTTGCCTTTCCCCTAAGGAACAATTAGCAAGGCACTCCTTTCCCTCGCTCGCTCTCTTCTCTCTCTCTCTTTTTTTTTGGTGTGACTGGGTTTGAATTCACAGTTTCTCAATTACAAAGCAGGAATTCTACTGCTTGAGCCACACCTCAAGTCCATTTAGCTCTGGTTAGCTTGGAGATGGAATCTCACAAATTATTTGCCCAGGCTGGCTTCAAATCCTGATTCTCATGATCTCAGCAGATAGGATTATAGGCAGCCACTGGTGCCTTGCTCCTTTTACTCTTTTATCATATAAAAGCCACAATTTTTTTTCTTCTTACTTCTTTCCTCCTTTTTTTTTGGTCAGTATTTGGGTTTGAACTCAGGGCCTCACATTTGCTAGGCAGGTACTCTATCACTTGAGTCACTCTGCCAGCCCTGTTATGTATTGAGCTATTTTGAGATAGGGTCTTACAAACTGTTTCCCTTGGCTGGCTTCGAACCACTATCGTGATCTCTGCCTCCTGAGTAGATGAAATTACAGATGAGAGTCACTGGTGCCTGGTTCCCTCTTCCAAGTCTTGCCCAAGAAAATTATCTTTTAATTCTTCACTTTTTTTCCAGTGGGTTAACTTAAAACAGAGCTGGCCTACTCCTGATTGAGTGTAGTAATCATATAAGAAGAAAAAGTAGCCATGCACTGGTGGGCTCACGCCTGTAATCCTAGCTATTCAGGAGGCAGAGATCAGGACTATGGATGTTCAAAGCCAGCCTTGGCAAATAGTTCTGGTGACCCTTTCTTGAAAATACTCATTGCAAAAAAGAGCTGGTGGAGCAGCTCAAGTGGTAGAGCTGCCTGCCTAGCAAGTGTGAGGCCCTGAGTTCAAACACTAGCACCACCGAAAAACAACAACAACAAAAAATCTGTAAATTTTGAATCATTTATGCTAAAATATTTTTCTTTACCTACTGTGATATGTTTGTGGTGATGAGGAAAAAAAACCCTGAAGTACATATAGCAAAAATGATTTAAAATACAGGTTTGTGGCAGTCTTCATAACTTCTGAATACATGAAGGTTCGTTAATGTCTCTACTTTGAGTATACTTGATATAAAATATAAATGGGAGGGAGACAGGGTTGGTGGCTCAAGCCTGTAATCCTTGTTACTTGGGAGGCAGAGATCAGGAGGATTGGAGGCCAGCCATAGCAAAAAATTTGTGAGACTCTTGTAAGCTGTTGTCTGGACACAGTGATGTGTCCCTGTCATCCTGGCTATTCAAAGAAGCACAAATAGGATTGAGGTCCAGGCCAGCCTGGGCATAGAGACCCTATTTCAAAAATAACCAATGCAAAAAGTGCTGGTGGAATGGCTGAAGTGGTAGCGTGACTACTTATAGCAAGCATGAGGCCCTGAAAAAGTTTAGCTGCCAAAAAAGTCCAAAAATGATTTTTATATATCTTTTCAGATTGTTTGTGAATTATAGGATTAGTTAGGTTTCTTTTAAATTTTTTATTAGGAAAATTTTAAGTGAAATGAAGTTCTATAATCTTTCAGTAAAGTGAAATGAACTTTTATAAGTTTTGAAGTGAAATAAAAGAACTAGTGTTCTTACCCTGTAAATCAAGTGACTTTCAAACAATACCTACAGAGGAATTAAATTTCTAAGAATTGGATGATCCTAAGTTTAATTTTTCTTAAAAATTTGGTGCCAGACTAGGGGCATGGCTCAAGTCATACAGAACCTACCCGCTTAGCAAACAGGAGGCCTTGAATTCAAACTCTAGTACTGACCCCACCCCATGTGGTAAGTACAATAATAGATGTCTATACAGAATTTTATGACAGCTTTAGGCCTAAAGGAGTGTTAGAAAAGGCTTTTGGAAGGATGCGACACTTGAGCTAAATTTAAAGGGTGTGTGGACTAGGTAATAGCACATATAAAGGCTAGGAGACAGAAGAGAGCATAGCACTGTGGAGTTGCTGCGGAAATTTCAGAGTGGTAGAAGGCAAGGATGTTTGTGGATATGCGGCAATTAATGAATATGGTTAACTAGCCAAGGGTCATTTAAGGAAAAGCTCATAATGCCATGCTAAGGAATTTGGAATTTTTAAAAAATATTTTTATACTGGAGGTACATTATGACATTTACAAAAGTGCTTACAATATATCTTAGTTAAATTCACCCCCTCCATCATTCTCTTTTAGCCTTCTCTCCTGATTCTTAGAATAGTTTCAGTAGGTCTCATTTTTCCATTTTCATATGTGATCATATAATATTTCCACATATTCACCCTCCTAAACCCTTTCCTCTCCTCCCGTCTCCTTCCCGCCACTGGTACCAATTCCCAGATAGGACCTGTTTTACCAGATAGGACCTGTTTTACCTTTCTGTGGAACTTGGACTTTATTTTGAAGAAACAGGAGGGGGGGGGGCACTGAAATATCCAGTTGAAAATAATATGCTGCTTTTCAAAAAGTCTGTTACCATAAAACAAAAACAAAAAAACCCAATAAAGCATGATCCTGTGGGGGATGTGGGGGGGAGATGAAAATCTAACAGAAATATAGAAAATGATTCAAAAGAGGGGAAAAAAACCCCTAAAAGTAGAGGCAATACCAACTGGAAGGCTGTAACTAAAAATCAGGAGAAACGAGGAGGCCTAACTTAAGCAGTAGGTGGAGAGAGAAATGGAGGGTTGTGTTTGTGTGTGTGTATGTGTGTGTGTGTGTGTGTGTGTGTGTGTGTGTACACGTAGGCATGTGGGGGGGGCAGTAGCATTTGAACTCAGGGCTTCACACTTGCAAAGCAGATGCTCTACGACTTGAGCCACACCTCTAGCCCACTTTGCTTTGGTTTTTTGGAGATGGGGATTCACGAACTGTTTGTCTGGGCTGACTTCAAACCACCATCCTCTCAGTCTTATCCTCCCAAGTAGCTAGGATTACAGACATGAGCTACTGGTGCCCAGCTGAGAAGATGGTTTTTTAAAATTATGTGGAAGATAGGCTCCATAGGACTTAAGTGTGTGTGGAGAGGCTGGAGTTTGGGGGCGGGGAAGGGATAAAGAAAAGGGTTTCTTTTCTATGTATTCTCATTGGAATACATAGGTGGATGGTTGTGCCACTAATGGAGTTAGGGAATTTTGGAGGCAGAGGAGGCTGACATTAAGATAATAACTTTTTTTGATGAATACCATTTTGAACATGTCTGATTTTTTTTTTTTTGGCAGCATTGGGATTTGAACTCAGGGCCTCCTGCTTGCAAGGCCAGCGCTCTTATCAACTGAACCACTCCACTAGCCCTTTTTTTGTGTGTGTGTAATGGATATTTCCAAGATAGGGTCTCATGAACTATTTGCCTGGGCTGGCTTCGAACTATTATCCTCCTGATCTCTGCCTCCTGAGTAGCTAGGATTACAGGCATAAGCCACTGGTGCCCAGCTGAACGTGCTAAATTTGGGGGTTATTTGGAACATCAAGATAACTAGGTTCAATAAAGTCTGCTAGAAATATAGATTTAGTAGTCACAGCACTATAACCAGACTTCATGGTTCCTTGGAAGAAAGTTTAGCAAATAATAAGGATAAGTGAATAATGAATTCACTTCTTAGTGGGTAACAAAAGAGCCATCCTCTTGATACCTGCCTCCTGAGTAGCGAGGATTACAGGTGTGAGCCACCAGTGCCCAGCTCTAATAAACATTTTGGAGCAATGAATGATGAAATTTATTGACAAAAAAAAAGATATTGATGGAACAAAGTCAAAGGTGATACCAACTTTTATAAATTAGGGTGGAAGAGATATTATATGTAAACTAATTTCCTTGTATTTCAAAGCAAGAAATGAATATATACAGCGTGTATATACATATATATACCTATGCATATATTTATATACTATATACTTAGATAATATAAGACATATAATTTAAAAACATAATGACCCTAGTTTCTTAATGTTTTCTGTAAGTTGTATTCTTAACTCTAAAGAGATCCTTTTACAGTGAGGATATGTATCTCTTAACTTGAAGAAACTGTGTGTGTGTGTATATATACACATACATATATACATGTATACACACATTTCTATGTATTTATATCTGCATCATTCATTTCTTTTTCTTCTATTAAACTCAAATAAAATTTGAATAACTTTCAGTTGCAAAAAGTTTTGTAGCTTAGAGAAGAAAAATGGAGACTTTTCCAGGAAGAGACTTTGGCATTTCTAAAAAAAATATTATGTAACACTTCTTGTTTTTTTCTTATTGCCTTATGAAAATGATTAGTACTAAGAAAATTTAAGAATGCCTATAATTCACTTTTTTCTTAAAATGTTTCTTTCAGTGAAAAAAAGAATAAACATAATCATCATTTTTTTTTTTTTTTTTTTTGAGGCAGGATCTCACTATGTTCTCCACACTGGCCTCAAACTCCTGGGCACAAATCATCTTTCTGCCCAACCTTCTGAGTAGCTGTGACTATAGGTGTGCATCACTATGCTTTGCACAAGGGGATATTTTAATTTATTTTGTCAATGAATGAAGAAGACATTAGGTAGCATGTAACATTAGATAGTATATAGTTGTTTTAATACAATATATTTCTAGCTAGGTGCCAGTGGTCATACCTATAATCGTAGCTACTTGGGAGGCTGAAATTGAGAGGATTGTGGTGCAAGGCCAGCCTGGACAAATAGTTCCATCTCCAAAATAACCAGAGCAAAGTGGACTGGAGGTATGACTCAAGCAGTAGAGCACCTGCTTTGCAAGCTTAGAGCCAAACTAAAGACAGTGTGATTACATTCAACAGTAATAGGAAACACCAACTTCCTGATATGAGGAAGTTGTTTATTCTGACATAAAAGGACTAGGTAAGAGCAGTCGCTGCAAAATGCAATAGAGGAACATGTTCCCACATGATTCTTTGACTGAGTCATTGTAGCTGATTTAGGACCACAGTCACTACCAGTATGAACAATTAGCTTTTATTTGAATACATTGTAGAGGGTAGTCAGTGCACCAAAGAGTATTCCAAACCATGAAAAGTTCCTTGGCAGACACGTTAGGGGTTACAGGAAAATCCATACTGTAAGAGTCTTTCATGTACAATTTATGGAGACATCTGTGGAAACCCATACCTTATAGAAAATCAAAGTGAAGTGGTTGGTTGTGGGTTTGAGAATACTTTTGATTGACACAGCACAGATGAAAGTAATAATTCACCTGGGACTATATAAAAAATTTTGCAAAGTTACATATTTATGACAACTAATTATTAGCAATAAAAATGGATTAAGGTGTTTGCTTGTCACAAAAATGTTTTTCTTAGAAAAGGGAGCAATAAATATTAGTCCAGCAGGAAATTCCCAGAAAAAACCACAGTGTCTTTTTTTTTCTTTCTAAAGGCTCCTTTCACAGTTACAACTTTTATATAGTTTAATTAAACCTGCTTGCCTGTTAGAACTACACTTTGTAGCTGGGTGCCAGTGGCTCACATAATCCTAGCTACTCAAGAGGCAGAGATCAAGAGGATTGCAGTTAGAAGCTAGCCTGGTCAAATAGTTGGTGAGACCCTATTGCTAAAAAAATCCTTCACAGAAAAGAGCTGGTGGAGTGGCTCAAGGTATAAACCCTGAATTTAAACTGCAGTACCAAAAAAAAAACCAAACAAATAAACAAAAAAACTACTTTGTATTAGTCTGTTTTCTATTGCTAATAACAGTACCACAGGCTGCATATATTATTAAGAAAGGTTATTTTAACTACTGGTTCTGGTCAAGGGACTACATCTGGTGATAGCATGATTTTGTCTGTTTGTTTTGGGTGATAGCATTCTTGCTGGTAGAGTCTCAAGGTAGCATAGGGCATCACATGATGAGAGACTGATCCTCCCAATCTCAGCTTCCCAAATAGCATGTGTCTCTGACTACTCTCTCTCTCTCTTTTTCTGACAGGCATTCTTGTTATGTTGCCCAAGTTAGCCTCAAAATTCTGGTCCTGCTGCCTCAGCCTCCCGAGTAGCTGGGATAAAAAGTGTTGTTTTTGTTTTTCTAGTGTTAGGGATCAAACCCAGGGCCTCACACATACTAGGCAAGTGTTCTTGCACTGAGCTATGCCCCTGGTCTTTGCCCTCTTAGTACCTCCTAATAGGGATTAAATTTCTACAAAGAAACCCTTGGGGGACACATTCAAGCCATATCCAGACTTTAGCATACTTCAGTTCACACATGGACTTCAAAATGGAAAGAGAATAATTTATAAACAGATTTAACAAAGTATTAAATTTGTCATTTATAAACTGCTGCTAAAAGAATACTTAGAAAATAGCTGGGCACCAAGGGCTCACAACTATAGTCCTAGCTACTTGATAGGCTGAGATCTGGAGAATTGAGCTTCAAGGCCAGCGCAGGCAAATAGTTTGTGAGAACTCATCTCCAAACAAACAACCAGGGCAAAATGAGCTGGAGGTGTGGCTCAAGCTGCAGGGCACCTGCTGTGCAAGTGGAAGCCCTAAGTTCAAACCCCGGTACTAACAGCAACAAAAAAAGGGAATGCTTACAAAATTATTTAACCCCCCCTTTTTTTTTTTTTGGCAAGAGAAACTAGTAGAAATCTGTGGTCCAGAAATCCACTTTTAAGAAAAACGAGGCATTGGCAATAAATTTATTACTTTGAAATGTCCCTTTCATGTTGTGAGTTTTTTGAAGTGTAACACACAAATAATTTTGAAATAGACTTTCCTACACTACTTGCATATTTAGGATTCTTCCCAGTGGGAGTTTTCAAATGCTTTGAATATATTTGTTAAAATTGAAAACTCTAGTATTTTTCTTATTAGTAGGATTTCCATGCAATGTACAGTCATGTTTTTAGCCAGAATTTTGCAACAGTTTTTGAGTACCAACATCCTGCATTCTGAAAGTATTAAAAATTGTTATTTTTTTTAAATAGGAAAATGGACGATGTATTACTAAGCTGGAAAACATGGGGTTTCGAGTGGGACAAGGATTGATAGAAAGGTGAGCAGTATGGATTTGAAAATTTTCTTCCAGGTAGGTTATAAACACAGACAATCCACTTCAAAAGATTGCATAGAACTCAAGGTTTTTAATTTTATTTCTTAAGTTTTAAGTATTTTTGTTCTTTGATTCACAGGTTGGCATTTCTTTTTAAGACTCTGGGAGTAGAGCTCAGTATAGATTATGTGCTTAGTATTGCAAAGACCTAAATTCATTCTCTAGTACCAAAAATAAATATGTAATTTTTCTTTAGGTTTGAGGATAGTTTAACTAAGGCACCCAAATTTTATTTTTATTTATTTACTTTTTTGAGACATAGTGTCACTGTGTAGCCCAGGCTGGCCTTGAATTTTCACAGTCCTCCTACCTCAGATTCCCAAGTGCTGGGATTACAGGTATGTTCCACCATGTCTGGCTTCAAATTTTATGTTTATTTATTTATTTTTGGCAGTACTGGGGTTTTGAACTCAGGGCCTCACAATTGCTAGGCAAGCACTCTACCGCTTGAACCACTCCGCCAGCCCTGTTTTGTGTTGGGTATTTTGGAAGTAGGGTCTTTTGAACTATTTGCCTGGCCTGGCTTCAAACAGCGATCCTCCACCCAGCAAATTTTATGTTTTAATATTTGAAGAAAACATTTTATACATTTGAGTTTTTTCCCTGAAAATATTTTTTCTTTTTTTTGGCAGCACTGGGGTTTGAATTCAAGGTCTCATGCTTGCTAGGCAGGCACTCTAACTGCTTGAGCCACTCAGTCAGCCCTTATTTGTGACGGGATTTTTCTCGAGATAGGGTCTTGAGATCCTATTGATCTCTGCCTTCTAAGTAGCTAGAATTGCAGCCATGAGCCACTGGTGCCTGGTTTCCCTGAAAATATTGGTATATTAAAGGAAATTTAAAATCACATTGCATTTCTACTTAAGGTCTGATAGGTTATTCAATCTGAATGGACTGCTTAAATGCATAGGGACGGATATGCCTTGAAGTCTAAGTTTATGCATTGAATAATCTTCCAGTTTATAAGTTTTCTTTTCTCTGTATTTAAATAAATAATTGAATTTTGGATTATGTTTTATAATCTATGATCCTGCTCACCTCTTCTTTTTTTTTTTAATGTACTAGATTAAATTGTACCTGAATTTTGGCTTACTATAAACTAGTGATTAATATACTCTTAGGCCCCATGATTTTTTGACAGAATGTGAATGCATTGAAATGGGATCTACTTTTTTTGGTGCTTATCACTTTCTGACTGACAATAAATGTTTAATACTGTTGTGGCATTTGGAAATTAATAATTTGTCCCTTTTGGGAAGAGTGAGAAAAAAATTGTCTCTTTTGCTTTCTTTGGGAAAAAAACATTGTATTACTTCTAGTTGATCTTTTTCAGGTTTACAAAAGATACTGCAAGATTCAAGGATGAGTTAGACATCATGAAGTTCATATGTAAAGATTTTTGGACTACAGTGTTCAAGAAACAAATTGACAATCTAAGGACAAATCATCAGGTAGTTAGATAAATTAAGGACTGTTTTTAAAGTGCTTTCACTTAATATAAATATCCTAAGCAGTTTACTCATTTAAGGTTTTATTTGTTTGGTTTTTTGGCAGCACTGGGGTTTGAATTCAGGGACTCGGGATTACTAGGCAGGTGCTCTACCTCTTGAGCCACTCTACTAGCCCAGACCATATTTAGCTTTTAAATAACTCTTGCATTATTACTGCTGTCATTTTTTCTATTAAAAATTGTTACAAAATTAGTAGACTGCATGAAAAACTATGCATTTGAATAAATTGATTTTATTTTATAAACTTCAAGGGAAAACTTAAGAGTGACTTTTGATTAAGAACAGCAACAACAAAAAACAGTGCCAGGTGCTGGTGGCTCACGCCTGTAATCCTAACTACTCAGGAAACAGAGATATGGAGGATCACAGTTCAAAGCCAGCCTGGGCAAATAGTTCATGAGACCCTATCTTGGAAAAAACCCATCACAAGAAAGGGCTGGTAGAGTGGCTCAAGGTGTAGACCCTGAGTTCAAACCCCAGACCACAAAAAAAAAAAAAAACAACAAAAAACATAGTACTAATAATACCATTCATTTTTTTTTTTCAGCTGGATGTGTTGGCAAGTGCTTATAATCCCAGAACTTGGGAGGGTAAGGCAAGGCAGCAAGATTGCAAGTTTGAGGACTACATAGCAAAACCATTTAAAAAACGAAAAGAATTTCCTTTTTTTTTTTTTTTTGGTGGTACTGGGGTTTGAACTCAGGATCTCATACTTGCTAGGCAGGTGCTTTACCACTTGAGCCACTCGGACAGCCCTTTTTTCTTTTGGGTATTTTGAAATAGGATCTCAAGAACTATTTGCTCAGACTGGCTTTGAATCGCAATCCTCCTGATCTCTGCCTCCTGAGTAGTTAGGATTATGGGGCATGAGCCACTGGGTGCCAGGCACCGTGCATTCTTTAACAGGGACTCTGTCTTATGCATGTATCTTCAGTGAATAGATATAGTCAATAAATACTTAGTGCTATAAAATACTGAACTTGTAACTTTTTTATTAGCATATAATAGTTGTACAGGGGAGATACATTGTGACATTTACATACCTGCTTAAAATATATCTTAATTAGATTCACCCCTTCTCTCCCTCATCCTCCTTTCCCCCCCTGAACATAAGCTTGAACATTGCAAAATTGCTTCATTTAATAAAAATTTGACTAATGAAAAGGATAATTTTAAGCACTTGAAAAAACTCTTAAATTGTTTATATGGGTAAGCATTTTTGAGGACTGCAGATTGCACTGACTTTGAATGCTTTTTGTATTTTTGAAATAGGGCATCTATGTACTTCAGGACAACAAATTTCGTCTGCTTACTCAGATGTCTGCAGGAAAACAGTATTTAGAACATGCATCTAAGGTATTTAATGAAATAGAAGATTTGGATTTTCTGCTTTAAAAAAAAGAGTAGAATTACAGGAAAAATCACAATGCCAGTCGCAAAAGACTCTTGAATTAAAACATAGTTTTAATGTACTTTTTGGTTTAAGCCATTTTCTATGAAATAGGAGACAGATACATATCATCAATTTATATTTACTAAACTGTAGCTAATTAAGTGCAGAAACCAATAAAAGAAACACTACTACTAAGCGCCAATGAATGTAGGTTTATAACATATTCTTTAATATAGGATAGATACATGTCTATAGCCAAAGCACCCTGATGTACTCAATCTTGTCTAGGATGGACAAATCACTAAAGTTACTCCAACTTTTAAAACTGATATTAGCTGTGCAAAATTATTCACCTCAGATTATTTATGACTTTTAATAGATTAAAACATTTAAAATATATAATTAACATTTGTTTCTAAAAACATGTGTGTTCTGTTAAGTATATCTGTGTTTATGGATTGTGTGTGATTTTTATTTTTTAACTTCCTAAAGGAATCATTGAATAAATAGCTATATTTAAGGAAGCTAACAAGATTTAAGTAAGGGCTCCCTTGAAGCAATTAAATACCTAGGCAAGGGCTGGGGTGTGGCTCAAGTGATAGAGCACACCTGCCTAACAATTGTGAAGCCTTGAGTTCAAACACCAATACTGCTAAAAAAAATGAAAGAAAATCTAGGCAAAGTATATTGTTAATTTACAGAATTGATAGCTCAGAAAACAGGCAAGAATCACAAAGCAGCCAAAAGACCAAAATCACCATTATAAGGAGTGTCCAGTTAGAATCTGTGGGCAGCATGGGCCAATAGCTACAAGCCATCTCTGCCTCCAGAATTAAATCTAACTTATTTCTGGCATGTTTTTGTTACTAACCCCAGATACAGAGTCCTTGACTGGAGCACCTCATTGGCCAAGCTTAAGTCATTTGTCCATGTACTTTAGTTACCAAGGACACAAGAAATCTAACAATCAGATTTAACTTGATCAGTTCTCCCATAACCTCCTTTGTTTTCCTTTTGATACTGGGTCTTGTCATACTATCCAGCCTGGCCTGTAACTCTTAGGCTGAAGTGATCCTCCTACCTTAGCCTCCCAAGTAGCTGGGAATAGCCTCACCACCCCCAGTTTTTCACAACTTTCTTTTTTTAAATAACAGCAATGACTTACTGGTAGCATGGCTTAATGAAATGTCATATTTATCAGTAGCTTTACTATTTTAGTAAATCTTTACTATTTTTAATAATGTTGTTTCCTTTTAGTATCTAGCATTTACATGTGGCTTAATCAGAGGTGGCTTGTCAAATTTGGGAATAAAAAGTATTGTTACAGCTGAAGTGTCTTCAATGCCTGCCTGTAAGTTGAAGTTACATTTCTTACAAATGTTTTTCATGATTTGTTTTTTAGGTGTGCTTTGTTTTTTAAACTTTTAAAGGAAATTATCAAGGTTGAAACTTTTATTTTAGTGTCATCAACTTAACATTTAGTGTGGTAATATGTAGTATACTATATTCATATTCAGTTGACTTTTAAATTAATAAGACAAGGACTTAAGAAAATCTGACAAAGAAATCTAAATTTATAAGATAGTTTAAGGGACAATTCTTGAGCTGGAAGAGTGGCTTAAGTGGTAGAGTGCCTGCCTAGCAAACATGAAACCCTGAGTTCAAATCCCAATACTGCCCTCCTCCATAAAAAAGGGGAACATTTTTAACTTTTTCTTTTCTTTTTGCCAAAGAAAAGAGCTTCTTTATTGTAGGATAATGGAGTAGGAGACAGGAGGCAGCTCAGATCTGTCTCTGATGGACTGAGAGCTAAGGGATTTAAGCCCTTTTGAGTAAAAAGAAATAGAGGACTAGCTGGTTGCAAAGAAAGTCTTACTGAAATAGTCTGCACAGGGATTGCCGGATCAGCTGGAACCTGTGAATATTTTGTAGCTGAGAATTTTTTTTTCTTTTTTTTTTTTTTTTGTGGTACTGGGGTTTGAACTCAAGGCCTACACCTTAAGCCACTTCAGCCCATTTTTGTGAAGGGCTTTTTTGAGATAGGGTCTAATGAACTATTTGCCCAGGCTGGTTTGGAACTTCGATACTCCTGATAGGATTACAGGCCTGAGGGTTTTTTTTTTCTGTTTTTTTTTTTTTGTGGTCCTGGAGTTTGAATATCAGGCCTCATGCTTGCTTACTCGAGCCATTCCACCAGCCCTTTTTTTTTGTGGTGCGATGGGTATTTTTGAGATAGGGTCTTGTGGGCTGGCTTCGAACCAGATCATCCGGATATCTGCTTCCAGAGTAGCTAGGATTACAGGCATGAGCCACAGGCACCCGGCTAGCTGGGGAATTCTTAATGTTTGAAGGGAAATTTTTCTGCAGTGTTTTTTTTTGTTTTGTTTTGTTTTTTTGTTGTTGTTGTTAATTTTATGTTGCTGGGGATCTCATGCATGCTGGGCAAGCACTGTAATAACTGAACTACACCCTCAGCCTCTGCAGTATTCTTTTAAGAAAGCAGTTTTCCCTATAGAGTTGAAAATATCTTTTAAAGAATTGTTTAGAATATATCTAGTACATAAAGCTAAATAAAACCAACTAGCCTTTTTTTTTTTTTTTTTTTTTTAATGGGATTGGGGTTTGAATTCGACTTTGTGCTTTCCAGGCCAGATGCTCCATCACTTGAGCCACACCTCCAGCCCACCAACTAGACTTTTATCACTAAACTTCCTCAAGATCTTTTCACTGTGGCTACTAATCAAGAATAAAATTTACCTGAGCTTCACTGTGTTACCTTTCCATTCATAGTGATAATTAGCAATAAAAAAACAAGGTAGGAATCACAAAAAAAAAGGCACCTACCTACTCCTAAACCAGATAATTATCCAATAAAAATAGAATTGACTTCATTGAATATTGTGAGGAGTGTGCCTTTGTCACAATATGTTTGACATAGTAAGTTTCATGATTAAAACTATTTCCTAAAGAACAAGAAAATTGACGTATAGGGTTGTTTTCCTTGTCCCTAAATTAAAGAATACCTTTTATGTTTTTCAGGTAAATTTCAGGTGATGATACAGAAGCTATAGAATATACTGAAATGCAAGGCTTCTACAGTGTAAAGAGATAAATTATTCATGTGTAAAGTATTTCAAGTAATGATTTATTACATTGTTGGATGTTTGTTCAGGAGTAAGTGTATTTTATCAACTTAATATAGACCAAGTTAAAGCAAATAAATGGTCATTCTACCATGACATAAACTTTACTGAAACTATTCAAAATGAAAACCTGCTTTCCAATAACTAGACACCAAGATGTAAAACACTTTATTTTAAACTTTTAAAATTTACTTATAGTGATATATATGTTGAACCACAGATTGAGAACCAAAACTCAGGGTTTACTGAATTAGCATGAAAAGATAGGCACCAGTCAGAACCATTTGTGTAAGAATGACCACATTTTGTTAAAGTATGAATCTGAGCCAGGTGCTGGTAACTCACTCTTGTAATTCTAGCTACTCAGGAGGCAGAGATCAGGAGGATCACGGTTTGAAGCCAACCTGGACAAATAGTTCATGAGACCCTATCTCGAAAAACCCATCACAAGAAAGGGCTGGTGGAGTAGGTCAGGGCATAATAGGCCCTGAGTTCAAACCCCCAGCACTGCCAAAAAAAAAAAAAAAAAAGCATTTGTTTCAGTTATTAAAAAAAAATTACTAGATTAAGCTTAATTTTTATTTTATTGCTCATAATTTATTTCTATTTGAGAATTTTATGCCTGTATAAGGATTTGTGTGTGTGTATGTGTATGTATACATACACATAGATACATATGTGACTGTCTAAATTGCTTGAAAATTTAATTTCACTTTAATAGACTTCAGTCCTTTAGTGATCAAAGTGAAATACAAATTGGTTTAAATGTGAATTTCTTGTCTCTTGGCCAAAGAGTACTAGGTATGTTGGGAAGGAATTTTATACTTAATTCTGCTTTAGTCATTTTGCTTTTTTTTTTTTTTCCTTTGATGGTACTGGGGTTTGAACTTAGGGCTTCACACTTAACTAGACAGGCACTTTACCTCTAGAGCCATTTGACCAACCCCAGTCTTAACTTTCACCTTTTCTCCCCACACATGGAAGTCCTGGTGAAGGTTCTAACATCCTTACTTTTGTCCTCTTATTTATCCTTTTACAAAGACTGGGGGAAATCATGCTAAAAGTTATTGTATCATATCTTCTTTATGGATTGGGATCAGTGCTCATCTGCTGTATCTCTCTTAGCATCTTTTCAAATTACTTTATCTTAAATTATCTGACTTGAGCAGGTATCTGTTAAGCTTTTGTTAAAACTTTGCATGTTGGAATACCTGCACTTTGGTTATTAAAACTGTACTTCAGGGTTGGGGGCATGGCTTAAGTGGTAGGGGCACCTACTTAACAAAGTTTAGGCTCTAAGTTCAAACCCCAGTACTGCAAACACCAGTAACAGTAACGACAAACACAACAATAAAACTAACAAAAATCAAAAACTGTACTTAAGCCATGGTGCATGACTGTAATCCCAGCACTCAGGAGCAGAGGCAGGAAGGTCATTAGTTCAATGCTATGTCAGCCTGGATTACACAGCAAGACCTGCCTCAAAAAAAAGAAAGAAGATTTTACTTTTCCCATTTTATTGTTACTCTTATGCATAAATTTGACAGAGAACTCTGCAGAATGGATGACAGACATGCCAAACGAAATATTTGGGTGTAACTGGCAGATTTTAATAAAATTAACTGATAATTATTTTTTAAAAAATATATAAATTCAGCAAAGACTCTGCCAAATATATTTTATAAAAATACAAACGTTGGCAGTTAAAAAAGGTCATTATGGCCCAGAAATAGCAAGTGACACAGAAGTAGATCAAAATGGAACAAAGCAGAGAACTTTAAAAATAGAATAGGAATAGTATGTTTATGAGTAACATACAATTTGTGATTTGTGGTATTTCAGTGTTTTTTTTTGTTTTTGTTTTTTTGTTTTTGGTGGGACTGGGGCTTGAACTCAGGGCTTCCTACTTGCAAAGCAGGTGCTCTACTGCTGCTTGAGCCACACCTCCAGTCCATTTTGCTGTGGTTATTTTGGAAATGAGGTTTCTTGAACTATTTGCCAGGGTTGGTTTCAAACCTCGATCCTTTCAATCTCAGCCTCCCAAGTAGGTAGGATTACAGGCATAAGCCACTGGTGCCCAGCTTCAGACACTTCATTTGCTCACCC